GTGCAATTAGCAATCTCATATTTTGATTGAAAATTTCTTGCTACATTATTTTAATTGTAAAGTGTGTGTAAATATTGTCATATATCTTTGGTAACTTTATATGACCGCAGATTGAGAAAAACCAATTGATCAATTGTCCAATGATCCATGTTATAACTCCTGTATCTTTATTTTTCTATTGAGCCTATTTTAGTTATTCAAAAGGAGCGAAATCACTCACATCAATGTGTCTACATAAATTTCTTCCTAAAACAAATAATCAAATATGAAATTCCCAAGTAGGGTAATTTTTACGTGTGAGTTGTATGCCAAAGCCATCCATATTGGTGGATGGTATGGGTGTGATCGGCATGTAGAGTTTAATCAAGACAAGGACTATGAGTTTGCACAAGTTCGATAGCCAGCAAGCTCGACTGAACAGTCAAGTTCAAATTGTGTGTTGAGTCGAAGGCTGAGCATTTGCATCAAGTCAAGATAGACCTACAATGGTAAGTGATGTGAGTGAAGCGGCACGCGTAGTCATATGCTTAATTACGAGCAATACTGATTCATGAGTGGTAGATCTTTGCAAATATTCATAGAAAGCATGAGCAACGCATAGCACAATGTGCAATCATGTGGGGAGCAACAATTATTAGCGACCATGTGGATGAATTGTCGTTCATTGAGTGAGCAAGCAAGAAAGATCCACATATGATGTGTACCAAATCTACAAAGTGATTTTAACAAGATCTTAAGACACAAAGACGAACATTCAATTCTTTGTCAAACGAGAAAATGGCAAGGCTGGCTAATCTTCAAGGATCTATGTAACAAAAGGAGATTTAGTGGATTTTTTGTGATACCATGACAAATAAAGTTATGTACCAATTGCTTGCCCTCTACATTGTTCTATTCTTTATTTAGTGAAGAAAAGATACAATAACAACAACATAAAGCCTTTATCCTACTATGTGGGGTCGGCAACCTGAATCCTTTTCTCCATTATCTCCTTAAGAGTTAAATTCTCATTTAAATCTAATAAACAAAGGTCATTTCTAATACTTTATAACCAAGTCTTTGAGGTCCACCTCTACATTTCTTAACATAGGTCAAATCTAATACATCTACTCTCCTAATTGGGTCATCGAAAAGCTGACATTTATGTGACCAAACCATCTGAGGAGACTCTCTTTAACTTACTGCCACTAAAGCTACTCCAACCTTTTAGCGTATATACTCGTTTATTTTTCTATTTTTTTAAGTGTAAAGCCACTCATCCACCTATGCATCCTCATCTCTACAACACTTAACTTAATTTTGTGCTTCTCTTTTAATGGCCAACATTCTGCGCCATAAATCATTGTTGGTTTCACCATTATCTTATAGAATTTTCTCTTTAGTTTGAGGGATACTTTTCTATCTGACAACAGGCCCAATACATTTTTCCACTTCAAACATTCAACTTAAATTCTACTAATAATATCCTCATCTATTTTACCATCACTTTGAACAATAGACCCAAGCTATCTAAAATGTTTATTCTTTTTAATTACTTGATTGCCCAACGTCACAAATCCCCCACTAGATTTATTACTACTAAAATTATACTCCATGTATTTGGTTTTAGATCTACTCAAATGAAAACCTTTAGACTCTAAGGTTAACCTTCATAATTCAAGTTTTCTTTCAATTCCCTCTCTAGTCTTATGACATATACTCAATAACTCTCTCCTATAATTTTAATGTATGACACATTAACTTAATTTCTCTTTAATTCGTAAACTCTTTTGTATCACCTTTATTCTTAAAAATAGGAATCAACACACTCTTTCTCCGCTCATTTGACATCTTCTTAGCCTTCAAAATAATATTAAAAAGTTCAATAAGCCAAGAAATTCCTTCTCCTAAATATTTCCACATCTCTATTGGAATATCATGAGGTCCAATAGCTTTTCTACACTTTATTTTCTTTAACGTCTCTCTAACTTCAATTTTACTAATACAACGATAAAAATAAAATTTTCTATTTTCATTTAAGGTTCTATGGTTACTAAAATCAATCATATTTTCATAATCATCATTTAAAAGTTTATCGAAATATCTCATCAATCTATGTTGAATATTGTACTTCTAATAAAAGTACTTTTTGATCTTTATACTTAATGCACTTCACTTGAATTAAATCCTTTTTTCCCGTATCTCTTTGTTTGGCTAACTTTTATATATATATATATATATATATTTCACCCTCCTTTGTATTGTATTTAATCTATTTTATAAATTATTAAAAACTAAATTCTTTGCATATCATATTATTTTTCTAGACTCCTTACAAGTCTCTTTATATCTTTTTTTAATTTTCCAAGCTTTTATATCCAAGTTTTTATATCTAAACCATTTTTTTATAACAAAGCTTCTTTTTTTTTTTTTTTTTTTTTAAAATCTTATTATCAATAATCTTTCGTTTGGTTTCATTGCACGTGCAATGAGCAAAACACACTGTAAACATTAAAAGCTCCGTACTCTTTCAGCTGCTTCTCATTTCATTGATTTATACTTCTTCAGATATCTTCATTTAAAACAATTGTTACCTTTAATATTTCATTTATATTGCCTTTTCCCATCTGTTTTGCACAGGAGCACCGTCTCAAAGTACCCAAAGGTTCAACCTTTTCCATTTGATTTCTTTTTTCCATTTCCATATCATTTTTCCTTTTCCTTTTTCGTGCACGAGTACGGTGTCCCCAGCCAGTACCATAAGGGGGTGAACTCCTGTCGTTTTCAATACCTTTTCATTTATTCACTTTTCTTTTCTTTTCTCATTTTCATTCTTATTGTTACCATTGCATACAACATATCTTACATATATCTCTATAAGTATTACTTATCATTTGCATATACGAATCATATACATGTGTATGTTTTCTTTCTAAACTTTACTTTATATTTCTTGATATACTCAGTACATATCATTTTTCTTTTCCATAAATGTACACATACATGCCGTTGCTTATTTTAGTTAATCATTTCCAATAGTAGCAGAAATCATAAATCTAAATAATTTCATATATACTTCTTTCTAAATGAAAAATAGAATTGAAATAAAGAAATTTAAACTTTTATAAATACTCACTTTAATCCTTCAAAATTCTCAATCCTTGGAGCAACCTCAACTTTGAGTTCCTATAACATCCACAAAATATAACTTCTATAAAACATGCTTTCATAACAAAGTTGAATTAAATTTATTTACGGATAGTTACTTACAAAAGGTGAAATAGGAATTTTCTAAAAATCCCTAAATCCTTCTCTCCCAAAATTCTTCTCTTTGCTTCAATTCTCTTCCTTTAACTTTAAGAAACACATTGTTCGCTTTAAACGAAGTAAACGAAGGAAATTTATACTAAATCTGAAAGAAAAATTTCTACAAACCTTTTTCCTTCTCTTTCTCGACCGATTCTCTCGTTCTTCAAATTTCTCCCAAAATAACACTCTGATAACGATAAGAATGAAAAGGAATTGCTATTTCTTACCCTTGAAGATAATCATTTGCTAAAATCGGAGAAAAGAAAAACCTACCTTGCTCTCACGCACGAAGCCGTCGCCGCCCTCTCTGTTTCGCGCTAATAATAGAAGGCTGGCCGGTTCGGTTGAACCGGCCAAGCCTAAACCAGTTATTACAGAATGAATAATATAAAATATAAAAAAGCATAAGATATGAAGTAAAATCAAAATATCCCAATAATAAGACAACATGAAATATAGTTCAACTCAAAATTCTATCTTTCCCAAATCTCAGTATTCTTTTCATTAACATATAATTCAAATTTCCAAAAATAAATAGCAATGACATATCATATAAGAACTCATAAGTCATCAGCATTGTCATCACTAAGGGGTTCTTCATTTGAAATTTTGAATCATCATTATGATGAACTGCTCTCTCCCCTTCCTCCTCTCCTATAGAGTCCAATGTCGGGCATTTACTTCAAGATTTATGTAAGTTTTAATATATATATATAGCGTGAGGCGTAAGCCTCATACCAGTGAGGCAAGGTGGGCCTCAACTAAGTTGAGGCGCAAGCCTCGTAAAAAAAACTGGAGGCGTAAGCATCGAGGCATTTTTTACTGGAATTGCGCAAAGGTGAGCCTCATATATATATATATATATTTCACCGTCCTTTGTATTTAATCTATTTTATAAATTATTAAAAGCTAAATTCTTTGAATATCATATTATTTTTCTAGACTCCTTACAAGCCTCTTTATATCTTTTTTAATTTTCCAAGCTTTTATATCCAAGTTTTTATATCTAAACCATTTTTTATAACAAAACTTCTTTTTTTATCTTTTCTTGTACATTTTGATTCAACCACTAATTTTTTTTACTATTATGAGCTTTTTTTTTTTTGATACTTCAAGTACATCATTTGCAACTTTCTTAATATCACTAGTTATTTTTAAGATATTATTCGAAATAAAGATGGAGTGATTTGTTCAATTAAATCCGTCTTAATAAGAAAATAATTAAATGGATTCCTAAAAGCTAAATATTTACAATAATATTGATGATTTGTAAATATTTATAGTCATAATTTACATGTAATATATGATACAGTAATTGTGTAATTGAGTGATTGATGTTGTAATTTATCTGTCATTAATGTATATTAATTTGATATTGTTAACGTTTGAAACCGTGGAATAAAGTTATGATTAGTTATCCTTATTTATAAACCAGGTTAAATAATTCTTTTAGTTTGCAAAATTTTAAAACTATTTTTTTATCAGACTCATTCATGGTGTTTATCAGATAGAAGATTTTTTACTTGGGTTTAAAATAATTTTTTTAATAAGATGTTTAATTCAAATATGAAAAATTCAGTAACATTAACACAAAGCATCTTTTTACAGCATAAATTCTAATTTAAATTTGACCGCATTTATAGCAGCAGTTGTGATCGTATTTAAGTCTAAATTTATTTGGGAAGTTTAGTTTTACTTTTCAGTTTTTGTAGACAGGGCCATTTGAGCTAACAACGAGGTGGACAATGGTGATGAAGTTTGTGCTTATACCATGGAAGCCGGAGTTGGTTTTCACTGGCGTGTCTATCATGGGTGTAAACCCTGAGAATATGAAGTTTTGCAGCCACGTGGTGAGGTTCATGTTCTTGTTTTGATTGACTCTGTTCTTTTTACAAATTTGATGTGACTTCTGTTATTGCTATCTGTAGGATCTATGGGATTCAATTGAGAACAATGAGTACTTCTCTTTGGAAGGTGTAGTGGATGTTGCAAGGCAGGTACATATTCAATTTTGTTGATCTTTAAGAAAAGCCAGCACGCATAGGTGTGCTCATCGGACATTCTTATGTAAAGCATTTAATCTTCGATAGCTGCGGTTTTATAAGACTCCAGACTTGGAAACACCAAATTACGAGATCCTGAAAAGAACTGCCCAGTATGAGGTAATGATCTTCATTCAAGCTTGTTTCAATACAGTTGTTCCTGGAAATGACTAAATTTTTTGTGGTCATGAAAAATTCCCGTTTCTACTTATATGATATTATGTTATCATTATGCCACTATCTCGTTTGTGTATTGTGAGAGAAATTATTTTGTGCGGACGCCGAATACCGTTTGGAGACCAATCAAAATGAGCCACATCGGTATCGCGGCTCAGTACTGCTCGGTACCTCGCTCTGTATTGCTGACGTGGCTCATTCTGGTTGGTCTCCGGATGTAGAGCTGTGTTTGGCGTCTGCACATAATAATTTCTCATATTGTGAAGCAAAAGGCAATCTCTAATCCATATTTTTAGTCATTTGTCTCGATATATTGAATTTTTAGATGAGATTCTGTGTATCACACAATCCTCTTTTAATATAAACCTATCTCATTGTTTCTCAATTTAACTAAAATATGTTTATGTAGAGAAACTGTCAGAACTTGTCCTAATGCTTTTTTTTTACCTGTAATGTGCTTTTTTTAATGGTTGTTTAAGCGAGTCATTCTTGCTTTTCTTGAAAACAACATATATCACCCGTTAATCTTACATTATTTTGATTCGTTATATTAGAATTTGAATAATAGAAGGACAATGGTAATGGATTATTCTGTTGCCATAGGTTAGGAAGTATGCATCCTTCCTTGTGGCTGAGACTAAAGGAGATAAGCTTTCAGGCTCATCTGGATTTAATGATGTTGCAGGGTGAGTAAGTCAATTCCATTTCTGCGTAACGTTGTTTCAGTTAAGTTTACATCATTATTTTGATCATCTTAGGTACATATTTGGCAAGAATTCCACAATGGAAAAGATTCCCATGACCACCCCTGTCTTTACACAGGCTAATGACGCTGAACTGTCGGAAGTATCAATCCAGATAGTTCTCCCCATGGATAAAGAATTAAGCAAGTAAGCGAATAAAACTTTGTTTACATGTCATGTTGAACAAAATTTAGCACCTAAACCAAGGATGAAGTTTCTGTAACATTTGAAAATCTATATAGCTTCTGGAATAAATAAATGAGCATGTCATTATTTAAGTACCAAGTTTAGGTTTTAGAAGTTTTACTCTTTGGATGATTAAACTTGGTTACATTCCATGAGCAGCTTACCTGAACCTAGTTTAGAAACAATCAGCTTGAGAAAGGTAGGAGGCATTGCTGCAGCCATAAAGTTCAGTGGCAGGCCAGCTGAGGATGTAGTTAGACAAAAAGAAAAAGAACTACGGTCTGCTCTGATTCAATGTGGTTTAAATCCTATCCGGGGTTGCGTGCTTGCTCGTTACAATGATCCTGGGCGGACATGGAGCTTCATCATGGTACCTCTTTTTTCCTTTAAATTGTACAGAATTTTTGTACAATTCAAGAAAATAACGGCTCTTATGTTCTATGATTTGTTCTATTTTCTGCAAGAGAATGCACAAAACCTTCTTATAAGTGATTACATGCATCACTAACCTTTACAGATTTGTTGAGTAAGCATGAACCATATGTTCATTTATCCTATATGGTGATGAATGGAAGATGTGATTTGAAGATTATATGCCAATTTTTTACACAGAATATTAAGCGTATTGTCTCTTTGAATGAAAAGTCTTTAGTCTTTACAATCCGCTGGCTATAATATGTTAGATGTAGTTTTCAATCAATATAAAAACCATGGCATTTGTCATTTTGATGCAGAACATTTTAGTTAAATTGTTCCTTAGGCATATGTTAATTAATTTGTTATAAGTTTGTTATAGGATTCTAGAATATTCTTGATTTCTCTAGGTTTCTCTATGATTTTCCTTAGTAGCTTATAAATATATCAGTTGTAAGAAGAAAGAGGAAATGAATATTTTTGGAATTATAACAGTTTTTCACTGTTTTTGGTCTCCTAGAGCTGTTTAGCTCTTCTTCATCTTGCTTCTTCATGTTTCTCCCCACATCATATTTTTATTTTGGAAATTTGATTATTTTAGCTTTGTTTGAATGTGGATTTTATTTAGTTCCTTAGTTTAGGCACCGTTGATTTCAAGCTCTCTTATTTTCGTTGTTGTTGCTGCAGAGAAATGAGGTCTTGATATGGCTCAAGGAGTTCAGCCTAGATTAGTATTGTTTCCAATTTGTATACGTCATTCAAATGCACAGTACTTTCCAACAGCTACAGGAATGAAATATTTGTTACACCGCCTATGATCAGCTCAAGGGCTCAGATGGCAAAACCTTAAAGGTATCTTCTTTGCAGATGGTTGTTCTATGTAATTTCATTAATTCTATATTGTCTCAGTTGAATAAATCTATTGGGGAAAGCTAAATTAGCTTTTTCCTCTTACTTTTATTAAGAACACTGATGCGAGAGGATTGAAAGCCCAAAAACTTAGGCGTCCATTTTTGTCAACAGATTTTGTTTTAGGATAGCAAAATCAATTTTTAGGCATTTGATTGAAGTTACTACTAGATGAAAAAGTTTTGTTTCATAGAAACTAGAAAATGTGGGTTGTGGAAAATAAAGACAGATGTAACTCTATTTATTTTGATATTACTATAAAAAATCATCCATTTTGTATTTTATTTTTAATTATTAGTTTACTGATGGATGTTATGAAGTTTTTTAAATTATTAATGTCATTAATAATGTTAAAAATAATGTAATTAGTATTATTTGTTAATAATATCTATATTATTAGTTAATTAATTCGTATTATTTGATGCTTTTATCAATCAAATTTCTTTATCACAGTAAAGTTAATAATTATTCATTTTATTTAACAGACATGACAACATAATATAGTATAATAAAAGAAAATACAATATAGCATAACACATAAAGAAGCATCGCCAAACAGGCCTTGCGCTATGAAATCGCCTTGGCCCTAACATTCTAATAACTGGTTAACTATGTAGGGGTGTGAGTGTGTGAAAATTAACAGATAGTATTGAACGAATTTTATTAAAAAAATTTGTTCAGTTTTAAAGTAGTTAGTTTGGTTTTATCATACTGAATTTTCACTATTACTAATTCTTAAAGCCACATGTTATATGAAAAGCTAACATTTGGATTGGATCTGTATTCTAGATTTTGGATATGAAGCTATGTATTCTGGATTTTATTAGAAAATTCAAAACTTCTTGTGAAAATTTTGGTTTCAGTGTAAAACTTTTGGCTTGTTATTGACGCATATAGTGGAGAATTTGATCGCATTAATTATTAATTTTTGATATTTGTGATTAAATGTGTTCAATATTTCAAGAAAAACAATTTTTTGGTTTCAAGACATCATTAACTTTGATGCAGAATCCAGCTTTGATGAAGTTTGATATGTTTAATTTGCCACTTGCAAAATTAAAATTCATTTGTTTTGGCAAGCCCAGCCATGGTTACTATAGATGGCCTTTTAATGCCATTTTTCGTTCATTAACACAATTTAGATACAGCATTAACATAACACACCGATTTACATATGTAGAACACCAGTTTTTATTTGTTTAGTTCACATTATTAATCCACTATGACTGCACATTATCTTGTGTTTTCTTTTGCAAGTTATACCAAATCAGATTTCTTCATTCCTTTGCTTCAGATTTCTAGCTACACCAATATGTATAGTGCACCAAATCAATCCACTGTTTTGCATGCCTTGTTCCTCAGCTTCTCTCTCTTCCAGTCCCCTATCCATCGATCTCCTCACTGTCTTGTACACCTCCCTCTCTCTTGATTGTAGCACACTTCGTTACTTTCACTGCCTTCTCTCTTCACATGAAAATTGCTTAATTCCAGCTACAATCCCAATTTTGAGTATATCTATTGCCAGCTTCTAATTCACAAATTGTTCAGCAAAGTGTAGCCAAGTCACCTTGAACACACCCGTTGTCATTTATCTGTAATGCTTCACAGAGCACCCCCACCGTGTCCCAGAATTATCATCTATATTGCCCACTCTATAACAATCAATTCTTCCCCTCCATCCTCTTCTCAAATCAACAGCTTAAAAACCACTTCTCGCCCCAGTCGCTCTCTCCTCTACTTTGATAACCCAAATAAATGGGCAGTTTGCAACCTCCATGCCAAGCCTAATCTCCACATGTTGCATAAGGGCATCTCCAACCGAACTCTAAACACATGAATGACGTTGCTCGCGAGATCCAGCCAAACGGCAAAACTTATGGTATTTGGTTGCGGGTGAACAGCGCGACACCAATATTAGTGTCGCACTGTTCACCTGTGTTATTTTTCTGTGTCTACCGGATTTGTCGAAGAAACGTGCGAAGAGGAGAAAGACGGTTACCTTATGCGAAGGGCTCAAAATGGAGTTTGATTGGATATGTTCATTCCATTTTTTAGTTTCACTGCATTTTGGAGTGAAAAATGAGATTTTCGGTTGGAGATGCCCTAATCCTAGTAGCACAAAGTTGTCAAAGCTCACATAGACCATTGAACTCCGCGCCCCCTCCCCCTCTCTCTCTCTCGTCACACACTCCCAATTGTAGTTTGATAGAAACATGAGCCCTATAGATTACACTATCATGATGACAGGTTTCCCATACAACTTTCTACATTGTTGCTCGGGCCTTTGAAATGTTCACCTCCATGCCATCAGTGGCTCACCTCTCTTCCCTGTGCTAGTTAGTGTTCACCATAAGATGAGAACTTGGCAAGAGATGCTAAAGGTTCCTTATCATTAATTATCAAGTAGCTTATTGTCATTGACGGTGTAAAAGCAAAGGAGCCCCGGGCTGGCAAAGCCATTGAAGATGAAGTGAGAGAGCTTTAAGCTCATGTACTTTATCAAGGTTCTAAATGTGCAGGTAATCAAAGACAAGTACAAGTAGGGTGTGGGAAAGGAGCTTTTATTCTGTACAGAGACCGGACGGGAGAACCGTCCAGTTAAGCACTGGGTACCCAACGATATCCAGCGATATCCAGCGGTACTGAGTGCCGGTACCGAGCTGGATACCCACCAAATTAGTTTTTATATTATTATATGTTCAAAATATTTTTATTGGAAGTTAAGTACACAAAATATATCATAATATATAGTGTTATACATGTCAAATTAGTACTCATTGATAAAGCATGTTGCAGTTGCCCAAAGATTACCTTCGGAGCTATAAGTCAATTTGAGTCATGTATAGTAAGTTGTTGACCGTGAATCAGTTTAAATCACTTGCAACTCAGAACTGCGAAGCTTTGAATTGTCTCTAGCCTAAGGCTTCATTTGGGATAATTTTTTTATTGCTTTCTAAAGCAGTTTCCTAATACAAAAAATTTTAGTTTAAACTTTTTTTTACTAAAAAATTACTTCAAAAAATAGTAAGAAAGTCATCCCAAATGAAGCCTCAGTCACCAAAAATCAAAGTTTGTCAATTTTTCCAGGGATCAACCCTTATTAAGGCTTTGTTTGGAACGACTTTCTTATTATTTTCTGAAGCAGTTTTTTAGTACAAAATTTTTTAGTTTAAGAAAATTTTGTATTAAAAAATTATTTTAAAAACAATAAGAAAATCATCTCAAACGAAACATAAATCTTCACTACTAAGCTATGTGACTAGCCCAAGTACTTAAGAAATCTCTCAATTATTTAGGCTATTTGCCCAAAGAATTCAACTCTTCTATAGTTCTCAACTAGCAACCAACTACAAACCAAATTTGCTCACTACACAAATAATTATATTGATTACAAATTATGTTTCTTATATAATTTTATATAGTTAATTCTACAATGATTACTTCAATTCTCATATATAAATAGATGGTCCCTACTTTTTGGGTTTTTTCTTATATTGAATAGAAATTTGATATCTTTTTACAATAAATATTAGATCAAACATTAAGTAGATTCCACCTCATTATGAATGCATGAGAGGATGCATGTGATTGTCATATGAAGTTCAGTACTCCATTACTATATTAGAGGTGAACATCTCATGATCACTTCTGTTTTATTTGAGACAATTTTCTTACTGCTTTCTACAGCAATTTTTCAGCACAAATTTTTTGAAAGCAACAAAAAAATAGTGACAAAAAACTAACTCAAATGAAGCTTTAATGAAAATAAATGTAGTGATAGCCCACAAAGTTGAATCTTAATAGTTGAGATAATTCATCAAGTATGAGAGTGTAAAAAGATTTTTTTTTTTTTTTTTCGTTCAAATAAAAATGTGTTTCAATATTATAGATAAAAGAATTTTTTTTAATCCTTCTATTTCACACAAATGAAGAAGGCCTAACTCCATACTCAATTTATCTATATACTTAAATTTATGTGGATGTTATTTCATATAATTGTAATTTATTCATTGAAGAAACATTTAATTTTGTGGAGTACAAGTTAGAGAGAATAATAACATGCTTCTTCGTTATAAAAAACCAAAAATAATAAAATTGCTCACCTACGGTCACCTACGGTTGCTACCCATAGCTTCTGTTGTCATCGTCACCTGCCATCACCAATTATATCCATCGTATTTCAATGCATATGAAATATGTAATAAACCCACCGCTGCTTGTCCGGGTGGTGAAGAGTCGTTGGGTAAAGCTTAGGTCCCTGGTTCGAATCCCTTGGCAAGCAGTGAAAGCCTGAAGTGTTGGCCCGTGTAAATTGGTGTGGGTTGCATGCTAGGTTGACCGGAGTTTTCACTGGTCTAAGGACAGTGCTTACTCATTAAAAAAAAAAATTAATACAAAACACAAAAAATATTTCAGTTTATTTACTTTGCATAAAATTAAATAATTTAGGTAGTTTTACGATACATATATTCCAATTATTTTATATTTCTAAATTTTATACATTTTAAAACACCCAACAAAAAATCCCCTAATTTCTACACTTAAATATAAATGATAATCCAATATAAATGCCATATATTAAAAAATAAAAGGATTAAATTAGAATTTATTATTTTTATATCATTTTGAAAATATAAAAATTTCTTTCAGTCATAAATAATCTCACCACAAAGTCCGATTCTTCTCATAAGCAACTCAAATTAAAAAAAGACAACCAACCACCAAAACCAACCAAATTCCTCCTATTCTTCTTCTTCCTCCATTTGGACTCACCAAACGCTCTAACAAAACCCATCTCCATACTCTCAAGAATTTCTTCCTTTCTTCATTGCATGGAAATAAATATACAATTCCCATTTTTTTTAATTAGACCATCTCCAATGGAACGGCAAACAACTGTTTGTCGTTCTTCTGTCGCTCCAACCGAGCAACAACTTTGCCGCTATTTCATCGCAAGTGAACAATACGACACCAATATTGACATCACACTGTTCACCCTCTAAATTTTTATGTGTCAACAGGATTTGCCCGCGAAATGGAGAAAGACGGTTACAAGAGGAAGAAGCCCCCGAAATGGAGTTCGATTGGAGCAGAATTACCGCATTTTAAAGTTTTGCTGTATTTTGCAGTGGAAAATGAGATTTTCGGCTGGAGATGCCCTTACTAATGCTTCCCACACTTGCCTTCATCATTTATCAGTATTGGTGGATGCTTGGCCACCTAACAAAGCCTTATCTTGCAGATGCAGGAGGAGAGAGGTCCCATGCAGAAGAAAACTTCAGCACCATTGCCACAAGGATCTACTTGTGGTTTTCCTATTAACACCATAAAGTGCAAAGTAGGCCACCTACAAATCCTTCTTATTCTGAATGGCATACCAGTTTAAGAGCCTATTATTCTGGTTTTGTCATCTAATATATGGTTTACCAAAGCTCAACACATGTAATGATATATTATTGCTTGTTTTATGGCATCTTTTTGCCCATCATATTAATAATAGGATGTGATGTGAAGAAACGATTACTCATCGGGTAAGGACATGTTAGGGACCGCTTTCTTAGTACTTAAAGTAGCTTTATAATATTAAAATTACAAAAATTAAAATTTTTGTACTAAAAAGTTGTTTTAATAAGCAATAAGAAAGCCAGTCCTAAATAAAGTCTATGGCTTTGTTTGGGACGGCTTTCTTACTATTTCTTAAAGCAATTTTCTAGTATATAAATTAAAATTTTTGTATTGAAAATGTGCTTTAAGAAGTAGTAAGAAAGCTGTTCTAAATGAAGCTTAAGTCTTTGTTCGGGATAGTTTTCTTATTTCTTAGTAGCTTTTTAGTATAAAAATTATTTAAAAGCAATGAAAAGTTGTGATTAAAAGCTGTGACAAACGAAGCCTAAATATTATAGTTTATGATGTCTATTAGTATGTACTCGTTTTGTATATATATATTTTTAAATATAAAATTTTATATTATTATATATTTGTAGTGTACATAACTATGTACTTTGTAGTTCAAATATAAGTCTATTTACATAATTTGTATATATTCTTATTGGAATAATTGAAAGTTTTGCCTATCGGTGCAAGTGAGTCTAGCTGGCTCAAGCTTGACTTGATAAATGGCTTGTAAGCCGAGCTCGATGAGCTATTAGAGTCTCAATGAGCTATCGAGCAAAGCTTAAGCCTATCCTAACTTGACTCTTTAGCTCACAAGGTAACTCATTTAAAAAATATTGATTTAAAATATACTTAAAATATATTTGGATTTGAGATTTTTAAGAACAATTTTTTAAAAAAATGTTTAAAATATATATAAGAATCTATTTTTTATATAAGTGACTCTTTGTTATTTTATTTTTTATCATTTTATTATAATAATTGTTTAAATCAAATTTTTTTTAATCTTTCATAATAAACAAACTGGATTAATTAATTTAATTTAAGTTTAAGCCATATATGATTTAGCTCAGCTTGATTCATTTACACTCATAATTATGCCCAATTTCATAGAATATGAAGGATAAATAATTATATCCTTTCAAGAAATAAAAATATAATTTAATAAAAATATAAATTTAAGGGCAGCGAGCTACAATACAAACATGCAATGCATAAAAAGAGGAGCTGCATCCAATAAATTAGATTTAGCAGCTCACTCCAAACCCTAAACAAACTAAGCTTGAGTGACTCAACCCATTAGCTCGTGAGTCAGTTTGTTTAATAAATATTAATATAAAATATATTTAAAATATTTTAATATTTAAAATTTAATTATAAAATTATTAAAAATATTTAAAAATATATTCCCCTTCAATTTATTAATTAAGCGATTCTTTATTTTTTTTAATTCTTATTTTTTATCCTTTTACTATAATAACTATTTAAATCATAATTATCTTCGTTCTTTCATAATAAACGAGTCAGCTCGGGAGTGGACTCAAACTCGTAAATTTAAGCTAGAACTTGATTAATTAATCAAGCTCAAGATCACAATATGAGTAACTTGAGCGTGATTCGACTCGTTTACACCCTACGCCCTCAATAAATTCACCAGCAACGTCACTCAGCATCCACCTATATATGTAGAAGAAATTATTTCGTGCTGAGTTCAGATGATAAGAACCGTGCAGACTGTGAGTGTACACACTATGTACAAAAAGTTGATACACATTGTGTATAAATTTATACACAGTGTATACACTCATATGTGGGACGGTTCTTCCAACTCGGACTCTGCATAAAATAATTTCTCCCCATATAGCACTATTGATTTTGTTTTCCACCTCAGCTACAACGAAGACAATTATTCAAGAGAATTCAAACTTGCCCTATCACAATTAGCTATCCATAGTGCATGCCTACCTTGCAGTGCAAGTTCACTCGCTTTTCTCCCTCTACAAGGCGACATAAGCTTTAGCATAGGGTGAATATAATCTTTATCTATTTATTCATTTAGTCTTGCATATAACCCTTAGATCTCTACAAATTTAGGGTGAATATAATCTTTTGGACATTTTAGCATTCATTCACACTTTGACTACAAATATTCCATTCTCACAGAGCTTTCAAGTAGGGGTGTCAATTTCAGGTCACGGGTCGGGTTCGGGTCGAACCCGAAACTGACTCGGCACTATTCGGGTCAACCCGAACCAGGCCCGCTTCGGGTTCTGGTCAACCCGACACGACTCGAATGACCCGTTTTCAACAAAAAATTACTAATTTTCGGGTAAAAAACCGGTCTATCTCTTCTTTTGGGGTCAAAAAAGGGGTTATCTCATCTTTTTCGGGTCAAAATCGGATTGCCGTGTTAAAATCGGGTTTTTGGGTCAAAATCGGGTTGCCAGGTTAAAATCGGGTTTTCGAGTCA